ATTGGAGACAGTATAACGACCCCAGCCTGCCTTTTTCATGCTTCTGACACTAGCCGGCAGTGTTAGACACCAACCAAAAACCAACTGGATCCGGGCTCAACTCTCTCAGATCTTATCGTGTCTGAAACGGAGACGCAGTTGCCCGTGGACGGCAAAGAATCTCTGAATGATCGTTTAAGACTTCGCTGTCGTTGTCAGTGATATTTTCAAATATACTGTGTGCAAAGAAAAAACGTTTTAAAACATTGACACATTCGACTTACATCATCATCAGGATCATCCCTCGGCGTGGCTAGAGAGTCTTCCTCCGGTTCAGCTGGTTCCTCAGGCGCGGGTGCATTCGCATCTGGCGGTGGTTCCTCCGAGGGTTTAGCCTTCAACTTTTCGGCGAACTCGATGACGTCTTTTGAACAGGTGGACATTTGTTGTGCGTCTGGAATGCCAGTCACCAATTCTGTCTCGGGGAGGAGACGTTGGAGGCAGACCCACAGCTGTCTGGCAAAACGAGCCGAATAGCCGATGGCCGTGTTCTCGTGAAGTCCAAAGACGTTTGGTCTTTGTTGCAATGGCCAGTTTTCTATCGCTTCTGTTAGGGACAAAAAAAGCAACAACCAGGCGTACTCAGTGGTCAAACTACCGCAATTCAGCCTTTCGATGAGCAACATATCGGCTGTTTTACCTAAATACATTTCGCGGAAGTCCTCACAACCCTCGGGCTCCAGAGGTATCATGTAGTCAATCGTATCATCGTGGTAGAAGTGGAAGGTCTGGAACTCGTCGAACAGGAAGTCGCCAAAGTACTCTTCCATGTACGTCGTGAGAACACGCCGATCGTAATTATCTATGGTTCGTCCACCGTACATGACCTGTGTGGGGAAAGGAATTCACGGAACTCGTCAAGAAAATACATATAGTTTAAAGGACAGGAGTGTTTACTTAAGCTTCAGTCTGTAAAACAGTATTCCACCCGCATATTAGGTAGCTTGGAGTCCTTTTTTATTGAATTTTGCCTGTGTTATACCGTATCACAACAAGCTAGGTCGCGAGTTCGAGGCTCGGGTGGGACGCCACTTGAGTCTGGGTATGACTGACCGACGACGGCTAAAAAGCCAAAAATGGTCATTCCAGTCTCCCTTGTCTTGTCCGGAAATACTATCTGCCTATACTATCAGTTTCTACGGCTGTCAGGGCCTCTGTCGTGACCCTAAGCAGAGGGGGACAGATGAGTTCCGCTAGCGGCCGGGTGAACGTTCATCAACGAATGACAACTTCTCCGTTTTCACAGAAACTATCTGGTTGCTCACAAACGAAGCTGCGTAAGAACGCTTTTCAATCGGATTCAGACTCACTGCAGTAGGCCGGAAGAAAAGGTATGTGAGGCCCGATATCTCCACGACCAAAACATGCGGAATAGGTATCCGAAAGCGTTGATCTACCGATGCCTGCGTTTTCGGCCCCGGGGACCCAAACAGAAGCACCATCAACGATATAGCACGCTCTGTCCTTCATCAAGGACGGCTCAGAAGCGACTGAGCACATCGCTGTTGGAATTGCCCACCGACCCAAAGCTACCATGCGCAGCAGGGTAATGAAAATCAAAGACCAGCTTAATCTCAATGAAAAATATGGGGTAGTGTATCGCATACCATACCTAAGCTGTCCTTCTAAATGCATAGGCCAAACTGAACGCATGCTCAGATCGAGTATACATGAACATAAGCTAGCTGTAGGATGAGGCGACGAATTATCTAAGGTTGTAGCTAACACCTATGAAACAAGCCATGAGTTCAACTTTGCAGCCATCAAGATACTTCTCCATGCCGGAAACTAGACGAGCCGAGAACTGATTGAAGTCTGGTCCAAAGACAGGAACTCAATCAATCGATGCATCGAATTAGCGTCGGTGTACATAGCCCTGCGCAGTCACGTGCAGTCTCGTCCGGACGTTCGTCACTGACAGTTGATTGGCGTATACCCACTATAGTTACCTCCTTTGTGTTGCTATTTCTTGTCTCTGAAGATGGACTCTTGTAAGAGTTCGAAAGCTTAGGAAAATCAACCAATTGCACTGGTGCTTGACAAGACTCCTTCCTTATCCACGCAAACATCTGGAACGCGAAAGTTCTCATTCACTAGTCTCTCCAACAAAATACCATATTTCAAAGTAAAATAAACCGATTTAGAAGTTCAGAAGAGGATTTTGCCTTTTCATATCGATATGCTGCCCCGGGGAAACTTTTGGTCTGTTGGAGTTCTGTTAGTGCTTTCCAAAGAAGATAAATGAGGAAATGTTATAGGTGCACCTCAGGTCTGGAATTATCCTTGCAAAGCCCCCACCTGAGTTCTGCCTAGTATGACCTAGTTGCATAGACTTAGTAGAACGGACTGCAAAACCTTATAGTTCCTCCGGTCTACTTTCATTGTACTCCCGGGGAAGTCACCGCGTTGCTTCTGTCTGCTAAAGCCCCCCCCCTGGTGGACATCGTAGAAAGCGACGGTTGAACTGTCGGTGCACACATAATAGAATGTCTTACCTCACCGATAAGGTACTTGATTGTGGCCCACTTTATTTCAGCCTTCTCGTCTATTTCGTTGAGTGATTTCTGGAGGATGAGTAAGGAAACCAGGAGGTCTGAGTCTGCAAAGTCGTAGCTGACGTTCCAGCCCAGCTTTCCGTAGCGACGACGTTCTTGCAGGATGGCATGCAAGAATATGAGTACAAACATGATGGGTCTGTACTTGGGGTGTGCGGAGGCCACAAATTGAGCGTCGTCCAGCTTATTCAAAGAGGCCTGAATGTTCTGGCGCAAACCACTGGGCGGTTGCATCACGACCTAAGCAAGGAAGACAGACAGTATCAGTATCATTTTATTGAGGGGAAGACAGGCGAACGCCTATGAACTCCCTATCGGTAACAAGACGGATATGAAATATATGGATCCAAAGAAAAATTGAAGAGAGTGCGTCAATTACATGCTTACGTGTGAAAACACAGCAGATGTTGGGTAGTAGAAATAGTAATAAAACATGACTACTCGTTTGTCATGAGTAGTGTAATGTAATGTCAGTAGCTGTAAGAATACCAGAAAGATGTTGGAAAAATAAGTTAATCGAAGATAGAGAAGGGCTCCGGGCTAAAGTCAACACGCAAAAACTTGTTATAGAAAAACATTAACCTATTAGGATACGTACACGGTCATCTCTTTATACCTTGGGTTTCAATCTCGGACCCTCATGAGCAGTCGCATAGCGACCAGTACGCCTTCAGGGATGCGTGTATTGACCCTGTAGCTCATTCCACCTCCGATGCCCTTCAATGTACGAGGTCACGTGATTGATCTTCTCGGCTTGCCTCTAGGGACAACCGCATGCTCCACGCGAACACTTGTCTCCCGTGGTCACTAACAGGCGCGCACTTGTAAGCCGGCCACAGTCTGTCTAACCAATCACCTTCAAGGCTGATTCGCGAAAAGTCCGCTCTGACGCTCAGACACTTCGGATTCTGCCCTGCTTGGGTGCATGCCTGCGCTT